TAATAATGTCTGCGCTTTTAAATGAGTTTACAGTTTGTGCACAACTTTCCCAACAAAGGAGACAAACCATCAAATTATTTCATGTTTTTGATGACCACTTCAAGAAAAATAAAAACATATTGTTTGTTACAATCAATGGTCAGGTCTATGGGTTGGGCAGTAATAGTGAGGGAGTGTTGGGTTTGGGACACAACCGACCCATACATACACCAAAAGAAGTGCAAAAATTAAGTCATAAAAATATACAACAATTTTTCATTGGAATGGACTTTATATTGGCTTTAGATAGCGATCAGCGACTGTACGGTTGGGGTAAACATAACTCTGCCGTTGGTATCACTTATAATAAACCGCACAAAATATTATTAAGTAATTCACGTGATATACGTATTGAGAAAATATCATGTTTTAAACCAATTGCTACTGCACTCACATCCGATGGACGGGTATTTCAATGGAGATATAATTCAATGAAAGTGCAAAAACCAATTGAAATACAATTTCCCGTTGACTATAAAATTGTGGACATTATGTGCGATATCGAGACAATTGCCATCACATCCAGTGGACAGGTGTTTAAGTTTGAAAATATTGAAAATATTAATGTAAAAAATCAGAGACCTATTGTACCAAAATTATTACCATATGCGAATAATATAAGAATCGCATATACGCGCAGTGTATCTGACATAATAATGTTAGCACATGATAAACATGTTTATAAATATGACCTGCAAAATGAGAAAATAATTATGATAAATAACTTAATGTTTACTGATCTTGATCGATCTAGATTTATTGTTGGATTAACCGATGATTATGTGTACGAATATAAGGAAGTATTTATTGAGACAAAGTATAAAACTTTTGATGAGTACTTCGCTATTGAATATGACATGACTTATAAAACTATTGATTTCATTAAATATAATAATTCTGTTCAAACAATAAACACAACACAACCTAACGGTAAGACAATGACAATAATTGTTAATTACTAATTAAATATTTAATTAATGTTAAAAAATTATATTAAAATTTAATACAGGAATAAATAACATAGAAATGTATGAAGTATTGAAAAAGTTAGGATCGGGTTATTTTGGATGTGTATATGAAGTGAGAGATAAAAACGATAAACACATGGTTTATGCGATGAAAAAATGTCCACTAAATCGTAATGTTTTTTGAATAATTTGTTTAATTACATATTAATCACAACTCATTTTATTTAAAAATTTTAGGCATGACAGAAAAACAAAAACAAAATGTTTTCAATGAAACGCAAAATTTGATAAAATTGCGCTCAAAATATGTCATTCATTACTACTATTCATGGATTCAATACAACTGCTTATATATAGTTATGGATTATTTGACCGCAAATTTATCGGATGTTTTAAAGGCTAAGAGAAAATTATTTGGGAAACTAATGACTGATTTTGAATTTTATATATCATATGATTTATTCAGACAATTGGTTGAAAGTGTGGAGTATTTGCATAAAAATAATATTACTCACAGAGACCTCAAACCCGATAATGTGTTGATTGATATATATTATAATTATATAAAGTTATGTGACTTTGGTTTGTCTAAATTGTTGCATGAATTAAGTGATCGATACAAACAAAGTAGTGTCAAAAATACCGCAGATTTCAAAGACAATGTTAATTATATGGCACCCGAAGGACAGACCACTGAATACAACCATTTAATAGATGTCTATAGTCTGGCACTCATTGGAGCGAAAATATTTGGTTTTAGTTCAAACAATATAAGAGACGGAATGTATGTTATTTTATAAATTCATTTACATTAATATTAATATATATTTATATTTTTAGATTTGATTTTGATTTCAAAAGCATTGATAACTTTGATCTCCGCTTAAAAATGGTTCAAATGTACACTTTATTGCTGTCAATGAGTGTTAGTATATATACAGAGAATTGTGCAGAGATTGAGGATATATGGAAACAACGACCCGAATGTGTAGTAATTTTACACCAATTAAAGCAATTATTGTTTAAACCGATTGTCGAGAAAAGTGAACTGCTATTTAATAACCTAGATGAAAATAAATTCAAACTATTTACAGATTATTATAGCCTCCACTATAACCGAGTTATTTGCCAAACATGTGATGACAAAACTGGTAACTATTTTATTTTAGCATATTTTATTTTGCCTACAATGATTTTAAATTATTACAAAATTATAGATCTAGTGCAAACAATTCAATTGCATGGTAAGCTTCATTGGAGGACATCATCTAGAGCGTTCATAA